ATATCGCCTTGCTTACTGTATCGCAATATATCGGGATATATCGTATCGTGACCCCTCTGTATCTCTGATATGTATCGTATCGCCAAATTCTTGCCAATACACAGCCCTAGTCTCCATAAGACCATTCATATATATTATAAAAACAAACCGGATCCAGGAGAACCAGAACACCCCGCTTTGCCCCAAACAACAGCAGCCCCGAATGAAGACTGATGCAGGAGCACAACAAGAAGAAACACTTCCGGCTTCCTTGGTGACCTTTTCAAAATAAAGCAACCTCGCAAACTTTCCATTTCTTCATCTTTTTAGTCATAAATGTGTGAATGCTGACTCAGCGTTATGTCTCTAAAGTTTTTTGTTTGTTTTTAATTGAACTACTTCACACTTTGCTTTATTTAAGCCGTTCATAAATCAAAACATTCATCTCATAAATTATTTCTTTTTTTGGTAACCTTTACACTTCAAAATATTTAACTTTATTTACAAATACTTTTCCTACTGGCTTTGTATTTCATCTCCTTAAGCAACTTTTAGCTGCTTTTCTACCAGAGCTTTTAAATAGCCTTTTGCTACTTTGAGCTTTTAGCTAGCCTTTTACTGCTTTTATCAAATGTTCTGCTGCCTCTTTCATTTCGCTATGATCAGTAAGACTTTTTCTATTTTAGCCATGTTGACCTAATATTTCACTTCTTTTAGCTTTTTAAAAACATTTAATGTTCACATCATTCTTTTACTTGCTTTATTTACTTAAGCTACAGACTGATTGTGTTTAGCTACTTTTAGATTTTCTATTTTCATGCTAATTTCAGCTGTACCGTAGCTTTTAAATAATTTAGTTTTTAGCTTCTGAAACTAAGATATGGATACTTCAGTTAACATTTAACATATTTTAGCTACTTAGATTTTCGTTAGCATGTTTTTTTTAGCCTATAGTCATTTTATCTACTTTTGGCCAATGTTTTGACATTTTAGCTTTAAGTTAGACTTTGACCATTTGCTTTGTTTTGCTAGCATTGTTCTTTCAGTCATCAGTTAGCCTTTTAAAAAATAAGGTTATTTGGTATATTTTTCTAACTTTACCTTTCAGCTAGTACTTTGCTACTTTTAGCTAATGTTCTGCTTTATCAGCTTGTTATTCATATTTTTTAGATTAGACTGTATTAGATATTAAGGATTAGTCGTTCATGTTAAATGTTTTCCATAGTGAAAGTTATTAACCAAGGAAGCAGCAGGTTGTCAATGACGTGCTTCTCAGGATGAAGTGCTTCAACACTGAGAAAAGAAAAACCTCCTTTAATTTAATCCTCCAWGAGGATCATGACCCAAATCATACAGCTAAAAACACCAAGAATGGATCAGAACCAAACACTGGATTGTTCTGAACTAGCCTGTTTAAAACCAGAACCTTGTYCTTCACTTTGCTTCGTACGAGGATCTGGACTCTCTGCTAAAGAGAAGTGATTCTTGATGGAGGCGTGGCCTCTGTTAAAGTTTAAAATGATTGGATCAGTTGGCCGCGACATATGTCGGAGTGAAGGAGGCTAAGCTAAGAAGCTAACTGGAAATCTCGTGTGCTGTAAACAACCCTACTGAGAGGAGAGAAGTACCGAGCCAAACGAGACGACAGTAAATGAGAGCTGCTGCTTTGTCAGACAAATTTATTTTAATTTGGAAGCCTTATCAACACAGACTGGCTTCATTCACTTCCTCCGCTATCCTTATGCTAAAATAACTAGCAGACACTGCTCAAAAAATCGACATTCTGTTCTCTGATTGGCTCGGATGAAATGCTCCTGACGAAATCCTTGTCTATGGGAGAAATCCCAGACGGAGCAGTGAAGGAAACTAGAATTGAGTGGAGCTGTGTAGGAAGGAAAGGGTCAGGCTGGTTCTGAAGTATCCTGAGCTCTGATTTAATCCTGTTGAGAATCTGTGGGAGGAGCTGAACATCTTGAGTAGGAACCCTTCAAACCTGAAACAGCTGGAGCAGTTTGTTCACATCTTTAATGTGAAATCAGCAGCAGTAAACACTGCACTGATGTTAGGACTGCCTTCACAGTAACTTAGTGAATTCCTTCAGATCATTTCATACCAGAGACAGAAAGAGAAACTGTTTAAACCTCCTTCTGAACCATTAGTTCTGCAGATTCAGTTACTTTAAAACCATTCAGAATACCTTTCTGTACATGTAGCGCAGCATGAAGTCCAGCAGAAAGGACTTGCCCTTACGAAAAGCTCCGGCCACTGAGACAACGACCACGTTGAGGTCCTGCACCTCCTCCTGCAGCAGCAGCTGCTCCAGCGTCGCCTCCTGCAGGGAGAACGAGTGCTCCTCTTCATTCGCCACCACGATCTGCACAGGCCGGGGAACAAGCACCTCTTCATCCTGCAGGTCATCCTCCTCCTCCTCACATCTCAGCTGGGATGTTTCTGATTTAAACCCATGGCCACCTGAAAGAAACCAGTTGAAAACCAGTAAGTGTTCAGCAGAAGATACAGAGCTGGACATCCTTCAGAGAACTCTCTATGTGTTGATCCTGCCGGCTCTAACAACTAAACACTTTAAACAGTAAGACAACAACTGTAGCACAGATAACACCAGGTGAACACAAGCTGCAGTGGATCCTTCAAATGTACTCTTTGACTTGTCACTGCAACACTGGTGATGAGAAAACTTAAAGGGGCAATATCATGTTAAATCAACTTTTTTGAGTTTTATATCATGTTATAATTTTATACTCTCATAAAAAACGTGTCCAAAGCCTTGCTCTGACTCATTCATCATGTTTGAGAAATCCTGCAGCGTTTTTATGAAGCCATGCAGAGGAGCAAAACGACAGGTGGGGACCAGAAACGCCCCTGGGACTAGGGCTGCCAGAAAAGATTATTTTTATAATCGATTAATCACAGATTATTTTTTCGATTAGTCACTAATCGGATCATACGTTAATTG